CTAGCAAAAAATGAGGTTAATCATATACTACACTAAATCTAGTATATCCAATTTAATTATTCGCAATGATTCTTCACCCCTCCCCGTTAGCGATTTGCAAAAAACCAACATAGTTTACAAATTCAAGTGCCTTTTTGGAGATTTTATCTCCAATGGATTAAATAATATTTATGTTGGTAACACCACAAACTCGCTTTCACTATGCTTGACTCTATATTTGAATGATAACTCTAACATTTTTAGGCATTTAAAACAACATGCCTAGCGGCGTACACAATTCCGAAAAGTCCTTGTTGAAAACACAACTATACTTAAACATAAAAAATAGACAAAAACTAAAAATTCTTGAAGTTATATACATAAAACAGTTGAAACCTAACCTGAATTAAATAAACTACGAAATCTCCACAAACATTCTTAAATACCTATAATTGATAACAGAAGCCATTGGTTTATACCAGCGGCATCCATGCTTAATACCTCTCGTTTTCACTCTCACGTAGTCATGTGTGACGTCACGAGCTGCGACGCGATTTTCGCTTCCGTCGTTGCTTTGAAATTTTTCATCCAACAAAAACAGACTATCATTATTGTTCAGTGTATTGGTTAATATATTGAAAAGTAATTGTCATCTTTGATCATGGCTTATGCAAGCCGAAAGCTTAGATTGGATTTAAACATGTATCAATATGATGATTTCCTTTCGTCTTTCAATGATAATGTTATTAAGCTTATCGGACAATATGAAAGGAACTTATTTAAAATAAATAGACAAAACTTGTCCATATTATTTAATGAAACATGCATCAATGAAAAATTGCTGGCTAAATATACACAATATATATATATATATATATATATATATATATATATATATATGCTTCTTGTGTGTGTGTGTGTGTGTGTGTGTGTGTGGGTAGGGGTGACATTTTGTATTTCTTTTACCCTCTTCTTTCTTTCATCACTGATCCAAAATCTGTCTTCACCCTCAATAAGCGCACATGTTCGTCATATCTTCATTCTGAGCGGTCATTACGGACAACGTTTGCAATATTATCTGGCGCCGGCAATTCTACCCGCATACACGCGGCCAGTTTTTGATTTCAATACCTGGGTCAATCTCTCAGTATTTGAGGAAATGGGTCGGTAATGTTGGGCACCCAGGGTAGCAAGTAACATTGAACACTGAAGTCCTGAGTTTCCATCGCTGATCATACAAACAAGCAAAAGAACAAAGAAAAAACAATTGACAGTAACAGCATTGCCAGGACATATCGTAGATTTTACAAATATAATTGATTCATGTTAATTGGATGGTCATTTCTTTATCGATTTTTATACCAGTTTTAAGCGTTACTAAATTTAAAGAGGTAATTTAATAATGCTATATTTTTCATTCATGTAATTTCAAAATTTAATTTAAACGGTATGCAAAGAGGTCTTATTACAATTAAATATACATGCAAGCACAACATGAGATATAAAGAGTGTTCCAATAACTTGGACTGATTTTAAATGTGAATTAAGTTTAAACGTCTAATGATTTTTTTCTTTTTCTTTCAGATTTAACAACTGAAGTCTTTGGCATTTTTAACCATGGAAAAATTAACAAACAAACAACGGGCTAAATTTACCAAAATCTATTACGAAAATAGACATTCAAACAGAAATGCAATAAGAATTTCCCAGGTCGCATCATCTCTCAAAACAGCGAAGTCAGTTTGCCACCATGATCGTGCGACTTAACGCCTTTAGATTTCTTCATTTGTGGTCATCTCAAAAGTAAGATCTATGCCAACAAGCCAACAACAATTCAACAGCTGAAGGATGAGATAATAAGGCATATTGGTGAGATCGAGGAGCAACTATGCAGAGACGTCATAAAAAATTTTGACCATCGAGTGGAGGTGTGCCGCTGAAGCCTTGGCGGACATCTGAACAATATTATTTTTCACACATAATTGCCATGTCTTAAATAACATGATACAATAGATAAATAAATAAATTTTCACCAATAACACTGATTTATTTACTGCTGACTTTGATCCGTTTTAATGAAACACCCTTTATTTATCCATTTCATGCAAACGAGTGATGTAGTATGAAAAGAATCAACGAGGAGAGTAATTTGATATTAAATTGAATATAAATAATTATTAGAAAGAGAGATAATTGGTGAAATTTACTCATACGGCAAAAGATATCGGGATTACTTTAGTATACATGTGTATAAGTATGTATGCATGTATACACATTGCATATTGTATGCGTAGATTGTCATATGACAAGGAGGCCATTTGTAATCTGCTGGGTTGTCAATACACAGAGCTTTCAAAGACTTTTCAAAGAATTCAAGATATTTTCAATATTGAAAAATATAATGTTTTCTTTTAAGTTTTCTTTTCAACGACATTGATGAAAATATATTGATAAGCTATATTACGATGAATTAGGGTAACTCGAATGAAATTCGGAATTGCAGAATGTGTAATGTTTGTTTTGTATAAAAACAGGAATAAATTTGGGCAACAAATTTTACTTGATAATACGTCGCTGCTTTAATGGTTGGAAAATTGATATTTCTGTCTATATTTCTGAGATGAGTTATTGTAACTATTCATTCTATTTACATTATTCGGACTATTGTCCTCATCTTTATTGCCATATTAACGACTTTTCGGTTATTGTACGCTTTGGCCTTCTTCAGGTAATTAGAATTTCGAACCGGACCCTTTATTTCGTTTTTCTAGTTCCATGTGCCATGCCTCTTCAGGAAATCTCAATTCAATTTGATATTTCTACTTTCATATCTCTCATCAGTTGTCCATTGTAGATCTTTTGGAGGACACGTGGTGCGAGATACCGAGCATAGACATATTAAGTGGTCTAGCACGTGTTTTATTGGGATTGAAATGCAGGGTCAGTTCTCTATTTGTAGGACACCAGCCTCTTTGAAATGAAGCGAGACGATGTGAGAATGACGAAGACTTACATTGTCATTGTACTCTGATGGTGCCACTGATGGAATGATAATAACTCCAATAATATCATCCAGGTAAGACTTGCCAGTGATGGTATCATCGACAACGAAAAGCTTCATTTTCTGTTACTGGCTCCTCCTGTCAATAATGTTAGACAGCCTCCTTCAGCCGAATGGTTTAGGACCATGCTAACCGCTGCATCGACGAACATCGTTCTCGAACAGAATGATTATGAACTCAACATTAAACATCGCTATAGACTTTTATTTCAATGACTATTCTCACACAACAGACATGTATGAAAATACCATGCAATCCAAGATGGTGAATCCAGCTGTAACGAAATATGGTCTCGTTGGTAGTTCTTGGTGCAGGGCATAAATCCAAATGTATTGATCGTGATTAGTATGAGTAGCGCATTGAGTACCAGAGCGTGGCCGCTCAGGAACTGTTCCAGTCTCCAGATGCCTGAAAATAAGACATGAATCACAAGAGCTACAAGAATTCTCGTCTCATTCCAACCTAAATATGGTTTAAGTGCTAGTCTGAGTTGTTGTTCACTGATCTAAAAAAGAGAATTGTGAACACTCGTCACAACTACTATTGTTTGTAATTTTAATGTTATCACACTTGGAGGTTATTCCAATTTTATTGTATATAATGTTAGCATAATTTCGCGGTATGTAAGTTTTTTAATTAAGCTACTTTTTTAAATATATAAAATTCTTGCCATATTACTATGTGAATATTTAAAAATAACGTCATCATAAGTGAATAATAACATAGCGGTCAGGCTTAAAATTTTCTATAATGGAAAACACCATAAAAAGCAGAAAAAACAACTCAGCAATCTGTCACCCGGTTTCTGCCAAATTTAATAAAAAATGTCAGTGCCTAATCTTGCAGAACTGATGTGTAGTAGAATTAGCTTAGTACCGTGCGTAATTGAACTTCCATAGTAATGATAGCTTAATCTTGTACAAGGAGACATGGCTCCAGATATAGGAATCGAACTTATGTCTGGAGGAATTTCCTTCGAGACCTACTTGTTAACCACGATCCCAAAGTGAAAGCGCTATATCTTGCTAACCCTCTTAAACACAGCATTGGTTATTGTATAGAAATTTATTCAGAAGTTTTGTTCTTCAAAATTTGGGAGTACATGATCAATCACAGCTTCTGCTGTTATCAAAGAGAAAAGAGGATCGATTTCTTCACTAGAAACATAGAACCAATTTCGGTTTTACAATTTTTTTATCATGTATATTAATAATATATATATATATATATATATATATATATATATATATATATATATATAAAAAAAGAGAGAAATTTTTAATTATGTCAGTTTCTTACTGGTATTAATTTTTTGTAATCGAATCTACTTTTTATATTTTTCATGAATAAACGAGATCGAGATATAACCTCTTATCAACGAGAGTTTCTCCGAAGGCACCTATTGTAAAGCAAGTTCGTCTCGCCAGCCTGTTCGATAGAGTTCGATTCTCACTGTTATGATCCTGTGGCAGAGTAAATCAGTATAAATAATTATTTGTTAATATTGTTAAGAAAACTTTTTCGTTTTAAACTTCACCCTAATAGTATTATTAAGGAGGACAGCGAAACATATTTAAATCATGAAGAGGCCTTAAAGAAAACTTTTTATATCATAAAGGCAAAATAAAGAAATATAGCGGCAGCTTAAACATTTTTAAATAATAAAAGAATCTTAAAGAAACATCTTCAAAATCATAAAGATAGCTTAACTCATAAGTGCATATTAATGAAACATTTTCAAACTATAAAGACATCTTAAAAACAAACGTCTTTAATTTATAAATGTAACTTGAAGAAACATCTTCAAATAATAAAAACATAAAAGTTTTTTAAAACATTTTCGAAAAAACAGCTTTTAAAAAAGCCACTTTACATAAGAAAACAATATTCTTGTGAAATGTTAAAGAGGATATCTTCAGAAAGCCACTTAAAAACATTTTTTGAAAGACTACAAAACAAATGACTGTTACTTGCCTTTCTTCCGGCTCTGTTGTTGTGAAGATTCATCAGCGCACGGGCGTTCTTCGTAATTTCCCGGATATCGACGAAATTCCTGGCGAAGGACAGTCCGTACTTGACGTCAGCACTGCAGCCACCCCATTTCCAGCCGTTGTGGGAATAATTGGGCAATTTCGATTTGTCGCAACCGCATCGGCTGAGATTTCCGCGGCTGCACGCCTGCGTGATGGCATAAGCAATCCCGGCTGATACGATAGCGAAACTGAATGCGGCTTCCCGGTTCGCTAAAACGGACACGGAAGAACCGGGAGGGGATACAAAGAGAAAGAGAGAAAAAAAAAAAAAAAAAGAAAAAAAAAGGAGTATCGTATTAGTATAAGCGAGTTCTGCAAATGGGGAATTGCTTTTTGTAAATAAAAACATCTACTCGTATGTATACATGTTGAATTTTATTGAGATGATTAGACCTAAGTCGGAATCAACTATCGACAAGTACATGGGTAATAGTTCTGTTAGATTAAAATAGGTGCATTATGGGAAGGGCTGTAAATAACTCTGAATTTCAGCCATAAAAATATTCACAATTCAAAAGAAAGAATATTTTTGTTTCATTTTATTAACTCGAAACAATAGTTAACCGGAAATATAATTTCTTATTGATAAACATTCCCCTATTTCAGAATAAATTTCAGAATTTAAGGCTTTCTTTTATTTTTGCCGATCGGTTTATGACACGTGAAAGCAACAGTTATTCCTCAAACGATGCTATTTTGTTGGTCTGAAAGATCTTTTGCCTTACACATGAATAATTTCTTTTTGCCTTAGACACAGAAATATATATATATATATATATATATATATATATATATATATATATATATATATATATATATATATATATATATATATATATAGAATAATTTAAAAACTCATGGGTAGAGGCATTTCATGAATGAGTAAATTGGAGTGGGGCTAAAGATCAAATGTGAACTTGTACATAAAATTGACATATATTCGAGTATATACGAAAAATCAATATTTGATCAAGCAACAAAAAAGCTTGATTTTTGAGTTTGATATTGACCATGTTTTGATACTGAGGTGAATAATAGCAAAGTATGAAAGAAATTAATGCTTTATCGTATGTTTATCAAATATTGATTATTTATAATATAAATTATTGTCCGAGGGATAATTATTTCCCACAAATAGTGCTATGGGGTGCTTCGGCCCCCACACCTATTTTTTTCTTAATATTTAGCATGTGGCAAGTAAAATGTTTTTATTTAGTCAAGTTTCTTTCTGAATATTCTCGGTCAAGTAACGACAAGCAGTTACTGGGTTTAGTAATGTTTTTGCGAAATACCAACAGTTTTATTTGTTTAAAATGAAGCTTATCTTAACTAAAATGAAGCCTATTTTTGAATATTTTAATTTTTTTGAAACTTACAAATTCATATTTAATACTGACTTTTTCATTCAATCTTTCAAAACAAAATCTTTTGTTTGTTATCCTATAAAAACCAGAAAGAATGCTCAAGACAATATATAACAAGAAAATTACGAACTAAATGGCATACCTATAATATTCTAAATGGGTCGTTTGAAAACCCCATACTACTAATGCTGTAACAATACCTCACAGTACTGACAGTGAATTAAATCAATATTTCATCAATTTTATCCCAAACTTTTACGTTTGATATATTCTTTGGGAGTCAAATTGAAACCCTGAACAATTTTTGATGCACCCACTAGGTATTATGAATTATCTCTTCGAATCAGTATCCTCATCTATAGCGGAATCATTTGGGTTGTACCTTTTTCAGAATTTTGAATGGAATTATATATTAAATTTAATTGTTATTATTTGCAAGAGAATTTATCATGTGTGCGCGTATCTATTAATGGATAATGATGCTTTGTCCTTTTTCCACTGAAGCTGAATATTTGATCTTCCCAGCCAATGATTGAGCAAATGTTTAACAAACAATTAAATATATTTAACCAACAATTTTATCCGCATGACTTTGTCCTGTTACAGATGCAAAATCAGGTAGTTGAATAATGAAGCCTTAAAATTAATCTGTTCTTTCCTAATTAGAAAAACACTGGATACATTAGGCAATTGAAGATAGTCAGCGAATACAATGATTGAAATTTATCAAACCAAGAAGGGAGCATATAACGTATAACTCGCTTGATTTGTGGGCACTCCACGGGTGTTGAAAACTAAGATTATCCATGCCATTGATTTCACTCACAGTTTGTGTCTACTTTCTCATTCTCTCTTTTCTTTTTGTCAATGTTCACCCGAATAATAGTTTTCTATGAGAAAATGAAGGAAGGCCCAAATATTTTCTACTGCATCCTCTCTTGTTTCCTTTATTTTGTTCTATCTACCCGTAAAGAATTTTAATCAATCGCCATTATGACACATTTCAATCACTACCTACCTTTCGATACTCTGCTCATTAATATTCAGCCAGTAAGCCTCTATTTTCCTTTCGATCCCACAACTTCCTCTTCTCTGTCTCTCTCTCTCTCTCTCTCTCTGTCTCTGTCTGTCTGTCTCTCTCTCTCTCTCTATACATATTTATATATATTTATATATATATATATATATATTTGGGATAACGATACATAAATTTTATATATCTTAAACAATTTTGGAGGGAAGATGTATGACAAAGTGAAAAAAGTTTTCGTATGACGTGTTTCGTCCCTCAGGACTTCATCGGACTAGATTTGTTTACATTGATGCGACTACACATGCGAATGAATGAGAGACGCTGGAAATTTAAATTTAGAATTTTTTGTGTTTCGACTATAGTATCGTTATCCAATACTGTCTATATGGAAAAATACCAAACAAAAAATGAATATAAATAACTTCCGGTATCGGCCAATTCATTTAGAAACCGAAAAAAATTCTCATTGAAATGCATCGAAGAAAAAGTCATCCCACGATGCACACATAAAATATTAAGAATGTCCCACTGCATATTTCCGAACTACGCATATGATTTCTTAAAATCATCCACTGAGGAACTGGAAAAAATAGAAAAAAACTAACCCTTTAAAAAGCTAGAAATGCTGAACTGCAACTCCGCAAAAAGAAAGTTTTAACAAAGTTAGAAATGGCATATTTACAGCAAACGATAACAAATAAGCAGCAAGTAAACTACGAATGAATCTCAACACGATGTTATATAGTGTGTTGACATTGAGTGTTAGTAAATAGAGTCTATAACAGGTGGAAATATGTTGGAATACCAGATCTAAAAGAGAATATTTCTGATATAAAGCTATCCAATACCAAAACTGGAAGCCCTCAGCTACGGTTTGAAATTTGCTACCGGGTTTCGTAAAGTAGATCTCGTCAATACAACAATGAAAAATCATAGACAAAATGATACAGATTTTATCAAAGGATTTATTTAAGGAATAATGTCACTGTAGAAGCCAACAACGAAAAAGAATTACTACAGAGACAATTATAGGCACTAAGGAACCTAGCAAAAAAAAAAAAAAAGAAAAAAAAAAGAAGGAAAAAAGATAAAAAAGAAAAAGAAAGGAAGTGCACATTTCAACCGCGGACAAGGGGGATGGGATTGTCATAAGGAATAAGAATTCATACGATGAAAAAATCAATTTACTACTAAACGATACCGACACATAAAAAAATATACAGAAAATAATTACTAACAAACAAAAATTTAACAAAGTGATTAGGAGACTAATTAAAAATGAAGACAAATCATAGTATAGACTAATAGAATACTCAAACTTTACAGTTTCTCTAAACCCCACAAAACAGGCATCTCAATGCGCCCCATTATTTCAGGAATAGACAGTGCTCCTCCCCGCAAACAAGCCATAATAAAAAATTTTAGCCTCTCCTTTTAACAATCAGTTCATTAATAATAAAAAAATTCAGGCAACCGTGTTGAAAAACTAAGAGAAACAAATATGACTGACAAACTCATGGTTAGTCTAGATATAAAAATCACTTTACACTAACGTCCCGGTTGAAAAATATTTAAATCTCTGAAAAAAAGTATCTAACACAATCAAAGATAAACCTTTCTCTACCAATAGCTAAAATAATAAAGATTGGCGGCTCATCATCAATCAATGCTACTTCATATTTAACAATAATTTGTATAAACAAGATTTTGAATTACCACTGGGATCGCCTCTTAGTGGAGTGATGGCATGTAATTTCTTAGATTTTCTCGAATCTAGTCCTTTCCAAAATATTTTACCTAAACAGTCAACATACTTCTGATATATTGATAATGCTCTATTAAAATATCTCTGTGATACTGATTTATCTGATCTTGTGGATAAACTAGACAAAGTCGAACATACAATAGAATTTACATACAAAATGAAAAAAAACAATAGTTTACCTTACCAAGATATCATGCCGCACAGTGTTGACAGCAGATAAAAACTTAGCGTCCACCGAAAATCAAATAATAAAAATGACTTAATAAACTTCTATTGCTATCATAACAATAAAATAACATCCAGAATGATCATTGGATTCTATGTAAGAGCACTTAGAATTTGCAGCCCTCAATATTTACACAAAATGGATAAATATGTTAAAAATATTTTAAATACCTTTCAATACCCTATTTCATTGCGAAACAAAAGGCTCATAAAATATTTCAAAATAGAAACGTGATTCCTCCTGGCAAACTTAACGAATCAAAAATATATTGTTCTATCCACTAACTCTATTACCACTTCAATCGAAAATAACTTATCTAAACTTAACATAAAATTTGTCACATCTACATCTAAAACAATGAAAAACGTAATCAATACAAAAGAAAACAAGCTAAAACTTGAAAGAGGAATTTAATCTATCACATATAATGATTGCCAGAAGGAATATATTGGAGAAACCTCAAGAACTTTAAATAAAAGATTATATGAGCAGAAAAGAAACATTTTAAAAACAGCATATTAAACAACACATTAGTTTTTCACGTAACGAGACTGACCACAAATTTTGATATAAAAAATGCTATTCTAATTAAAAGAGAAAGTAAAATGAAACTAAAATGAAAATGTTTATAATATGCTTTAATCGCTAGATGATCCACAGTAAATCAGGTTCTTACAACGTTTCAACATTCTTGGCAGATTTTCTCTTATCCCAATGTAGGATATTTAATAACAAAGATGATGGAAACAAAAAGAAAAAGAATCTATGAGAAATTGGATAGATTATATCCACAAAATATATTTTAAAAATTCTAAATTTAAAATTCCCAGCAACTCTAGATTGTTTTATTTTCCAAACACGGTCAGCACAATTATTAACATAAAAGAAAAATCCAACTTTCAATAATATTAACTATGAGAACAGCCACAATGTACTGACCATGTTTGGAAAATAAAACATTCCTATAACCCTAGATACATATATAAAAAATCCATATATTCAGTTGAAATTTGGCAAACGCCCTATGTTTATCTATCATTTTATGATCATAATGGCAAAACCTACACCCAGACTAATGGTGTCAGTATGTGGAACCATTTAGGTCTCCTGCTTTCTCTAACTTTTACATGTCTTATATTGAAAACACAGTGTTTAAAACAACTGATAAAACTACAGAAATCTACACAAAGTACGTTGATGACATTTTTGTTTTGATAAAAATTAAGGACGAAATTATAAATCAAAAATCAACTTTTGAAAAAAATTGAACGCTAAATTTTACATATGTACTCATTTTTAAAAACAGAATCTAGAGAAACTCCCGTTTCCAAAATTGGGATTAACTGCGTGAAGGGCTTTAACGATATGCGCCTCTGTCTAACAAAAAAAAAAAAAAAGATTTTATCTTGATGAAAAAAATGAAATCAAATAAAAATCTTAAACCAATTAACAAGTAAAAATAGTTTCATTTTAAAACAAAGAGATTAACCCGAGTGAAACAATTGTATTTTTTTTCGTTCGGATTAATCTCTTCCTTAACATCAGATAAGAATGATACAAAACAAGACAAGATCGCGTCCAAACATTAACTCACGTACATATTTATGAGAACAACTTAAAGCTTTATGTCAGAAAAAGCAACGCTAAGTGCGAAGCCGAATTATTAAAAAAAAAAAAAAAAAAAGAATATCAAGGGTAAATATTTATTTTTCAACATAATCTCCTTCTTTATCAATTAACTTAATCGAACTTTGTCACATTGATAATTTGAGATAAAACTTGTCTACAGCAGTGTTTCTTAACCATTTTTAATTCAGGACGCATTTGTAGAATAAAAAAGACTCTGGGGTGCACTTTAAATTTGAATAAGGAAAAAAATAGTCATGAAATTTAAAAATATAAAATTTGGGTTTAGCATACTCAAAAAAGATTAGCAATGCAGATTACACTTAAAGGGATCCATGAAGAATCCGATAATGACTGATTTAAATCCCTTGAGAAAGGCAAAAGGAAAAGGATTATCTACTCCATAAAAATTAAGGAATTTAGTATTCAGTTTAAAATATCAAATGACAAAACTTGTCTTAGACATGGAAGTCATGCGCTTCGTGTCTCTAACTTAAAAAAGTTTTTTTTTAAAATATAAAAATAATTCATGAGTTACTTTTCTGTTACGTAAAGCCATAACTGGTTACCTTCCAAGTGGCATTAGTGCCCACGGGCACACCGGTTGAGAAACGCTGATCTACAGACATTGACTAATTCTTTCATCTCTCTCTCTCTGTATATGTATATATATATATATATATATATATATATATATATATATATATATGATTTCACTGATAAAAAAGCAGGCATTGAAGTTGAAACACGTGTACCCACGAAAAATAAATATATATATATATATATATATATATATATATATTATTTCAAACGTTATTTTTAGTGGATACCTGGATTTGAATATACGCTGAAAATTAAATCCATTAATTCTTTATACACACACACACACACACACACACACATATATATATAAATGGATTTATCTATATATATATATATATATATATATATATATATATATATATATATATATATATATACACGCACACATGCACACACACAGACAGAGGGTGCGATGTGTAAATTGTTGTTTAAATTACGCAAAATGAAAATAACACTGACATTTCATTTTAACAAATATATTTGCCAGAATTACACAAAAATATCTTGAAATATTAAAGAGTAAATTTATTCAATAAAATTGCAACTGACTTCAACCATGGCATCCAGACGAATTCGGTATCTTTTGCAACTGTTCTGGAGAATCTCCTTGTTTAAATTGGTAAATGCTGCCATAATCCTTGACTTCAGTTCCTCTTTGGTGTTAACTGAACCCCACATCTAATAATCAAGAGTGTTGCAGTCTGGGGAGTTATGTGGATTGATGTAAGCGGTGATTTGGTCTGACATAGGGTCTTTCAGAAGCCACTCTCTTAACCGAGAAAAGCACTACCTCCTCAAGGCACTTGATGTTGGCCTCCGTGTTGAATCTGAGGCTCGATGAGAAGATGAATGGAGGCATAACGTCGACATCACGTCGAATTTTCCGAATCCTCTGCACTGTCCTCAGATTGAAAACCAAACACTATGAAAATGTTCGTATTGGAGTTTCCGGCGCGAATTCCGAGCAGTACAGCATGCCGTTTCCAAATTTCTGGTGGAGTGAATGGTGCTTTTTTTTCTTCACAGACGGTGCCCAACCGACCCTACTATACTGTGCAGTCGACAAAATCAAAAACAAAAAACGCGCATACACGAAGTTAAAATATAAAATATCGACAATTTACCCATCGCACCCTGCACAGACACATACACACACACACGCACACACACACACATGCACACGAGCATGCACACACACACATATATATATACATACATACATACGTACATACATACATACATATATATATATATATATATATATATATATATATATATATATATATATATATAATTCACGTATTTGAGTGTATGAAACCAAGCAGATATGGTTTTCGAGAAACTATGGACGAGGGAATGTGCTTTAAGGCAAATAGAACCTTGCACAATTGTGAAACTCTCTGCAGCCGAGCGGTCAAAGGACGAATGAGATGTTGATTTTCCCCTGCAAAATGGGGATGCAATTTCGAATCATGCTAGAGCGCCCATCATCCTTATTGTCTTGAGCGCACTGGCCGATGAACGAAAAAAAAAACACTATTTAAAATGTAGCGTCTATACAAATACTGGAAAATAACATTTGAAATATATATATATATATATATATATATATATATATATATATATATATATATATATATATATATATATATATATATATAATTTGGAAAACTGTTTTAACATACTTCGCCGATGGATCGACTTCATCAGACAAAATAATTATATTTCAACAAAAATCTCTAGCGACATAACGTTAAGCATATGTACGCTTGATTTTTATTTTAACTATCTTTCAAAAATTGTTTTTTACCATTCCGCCATCACATCATATATATATATATATATATATATATATATATATATATATATATATATATATATATATATATAACGACAAAAAGAAAAACTTATCTTAGCCAATACGTTTCGGACTTGGGGGAACTTTATCAAGGCAAATGTAAGGATTTTATCTTGTGACAAGTATGAATTTTCCTTTTAAGTAAGTTACTTTCTTTTTTAATAAGTGTGGCATTCGTTAGGTCAAAGTTGTGGTCGAATTTCTTTCTATTTATGACGAATGCATTAAAGACATTTTTGTATGTAATGTCTCTTTTAGGTTAGTTCTGTAGATTCCTGTTTCAGAATTATTATTATTATTGTGCTTATTTTTGGCTCTAACCTTATCCATGATTTGGATGTGGCTGTAATTATTTTGATATTAAGATTGGAGAAATTGTTTTGGATAGTGTATGCTATGGAGTTTATAAGTAGTGTTATATGTTTGTTTTTATCTAGTTTATTGTTGTTAATAATGTTACATTTTTGGCAGTCGTATATTTTGTGTGCTTTTCTTTTGGCGTTCCTTTTGTCTTTATTCTTATTGTCCTTTTATAGATATACTCTATCTGAAATTTTTATATATACATATACATACATACATACATATATATGTATATATTGCCTTTTGTAAATGTGTGGTGAGTTCAATCTTTATTTGACCTCTCATTATTTTATTTCTTTACAAATTTTTCAAAGTTTAATGAATAAGCTACTTCTCGAAGATTCGTTGGAGAATTCGATAATGAGTTCTCCCTTGCCGTAACTCTGTATAAGATTATTAAATGTACTTTAAATAAATTTTGAGTTGGCTAACGCGCTCTGTATTCTTTCACATGTGTTTGTAGTCGATATTACAGCTCTAGAAGAAGCTATCGTTTTAAATGCTGATTTTCAAACCAAATGAACCTTTGATTTTGAAGAGAACGTTTCTTCCATTTGACAACTTACCATAGTAAATAATTAGTCAATATATGCAGGGTTTCTGAAAAAGTTCTCAAAATTGGTTATATTTGGGGAAGTTGGTCGGGCTGGCGGGCGGAGAATCTTTGTGTATCCATACTCTCTTTTTATTTTGTTTCCTTGCTTATTACAATTGCCACACCCACCCCAGCAACAGAAAAAGACAATATCTAGTCAGTCCTAGTCGCTGCTTGTTTTGTTATTATTATTGTGTGGGCGTTAACTGTCGGCAATGATCCTAAGCCAGAGACAGTGATTAAACACATTTGCGTACATCTACCCTGAATCAACGTACCCGTCTCTGGGGACAATAGTCCATCATTTAAAGCAGACCATTATTCTTTGTAAGTTTTTTTTTTTTTGCTTTTGCAGTTTCATTGTGGATCCCTGCCGGGGTTTCATTCGGGAGCCGGTCCATCCGTTCATTATTCTTTCTGTCATCTACCTGTGAGCCGCCGTCATCAGAGGATAAAGACTTGAATATTTGGAGAAAGACACGCTTGATGGTTGTATATATATATATATATATATATATATATATATATATATATATATATATATATGTGTGTGTGTGTGTGTGTGTGTGTGTGTGTGTGTGTGAACGTACTGGCCATGTTCATCTGATGATCAGGCTAGATTATTTGACCTCTCCTACTGAGCGTAGTTGCAGTATAAAACAGAAGTTGTCTCTGTGAGTGATGAAAAAACACAAACATGCCTGAGAGGGCATCTTCAACAGGGATTAAGTAGCCTGTTATAATTTCCTAGTACACACGCCTGCTCCTGTGGCGAGAAGATGTGTGTATTCAGAAATTATTATTATTATTATTATCATTATTATTTTTTATGTATCAATATATATAGTAAGAAAGAAAAAAATAACCAAATAGCAAGAGCGACTGGATGAAAAGCAAAGAAACATAAATAGTTATTTGCTAAGCATTGTATGGAGTATTTAGTGAGGATCGAACTCACTGCTCATTGTTCTTTTTGAAGGTACTAAGATGGCAGAGAGAAGAAGGAGATAAAATGTGAGTGAGAGGAAAGAAAGAGTGAGCTTGAGATGCTTAGACAAAATGAATACTTGCTTATTAGTTACAATTGTGAAAAGTCATTTTACGGCTAGTTCATTCCATCACAAAATTTCATTTTCGTAACAGCAAACATTTTTACAATATCCATCACAAATCTACTTGAATAACTGTCTATTTCGCAGAGAGATAAGGGGAATAAAAATACTTTAACAAAATAAAACTGGTTATATAAACTAATTTCACTCGGGAGTATGGGAGGTTTCGTTTTCTATAAAGCGTAAGTTTTGTCTGATGAACGTTCACTTCCAATTCAAACCCGGAAGTAGACACACGAGTATTATCACATCAATTAAGAATTGCAGTGAAGGAGGAAAATTCTACATCCGGTTTTAGGGATGAAATAAAATGTTATGGCAGCACTGGTGTTAAGTTTCCCTTGGTTGATAAAAGACAAATGAGAGGAAGAATATTGTGTTACGCCATCATTTTAAATATAAAGATTTCGGCTGTTATCAAAATCTGTAATCGAAACATTGACTTTTATTTTTTTCTCTCGTCTGAAGCGAAAACTAACAGTGTCAGTGCAAAAATGGAACACTGTCTTGTTGGCCATTAGTGTAGGACCCAGGGTTTTTTTTTTTTTTTTTGATTACGGAAGAGTGAACGGAAAGGAAGATAGCGAATTTTAAGGAAAAAAGGGAAAATGAAAGGATAGAAGGGAAAGAATAAAAAGGAAATAATAATAATAATAATAATAATAACATTTAAGAGAAGAGCAAGAATTAAGAAAAGAAAAGTAAAGAAAAAGAAACAGTGTTTGACAATGCTAAACAATATTTAAATCGACAAAAAATGATAAGTCTTTGGACAAACTTGAAATATAACTTGAAGAAGACAGATATACTGTCGAAATATTGTTTAACATTGTCAAACACTGTTTTTCCTTTTCTTTTTCTTTTCTTATTTCGCGTGCTTAAGTGTTAAAAAATATAGGAAAAGTTGTGTCAATCATTTTGTTTAATAATAATAATAATAATTGCAAGAAGAAATTTTTTTGAAAAGATCTTGTAAATACCTGTAATATGGTGATAAGTAGATTGGCAAATAATTGCCTTTTTTATTGACGGTGCCCCTTAATACAAGGCTCGAGATCCACTCAAGGTGGTAGAGGCTTTACCGTTCATCGTGACTGGAGAAAATTCAGAGAAATGAGATCGACCCATACAGGATGCTCCAAAAATATGTCCTTTTTTCATATTTCATTTATGTCAGATAATTTTATTCCAATACAGTGATTTCCATTTTTTTTTCTCCGGGTCGCATTTTCAGAATGAATATTTGCTCGCGCTTCACCAAATTTTATGCGATAAAAAGTAGATTTAAAAATAAAAAAAAGAGATGATTAAAGGGAAATAACTACGGATTTGAACTCAGAACATTATCATTGATAACTCTATCCTTCAATTTGCAGCCCTACTTACTATATATACTTGATATAATGCAAAAATATCACAATGATAAAATCGGTCAATAATTGTTTATAATTATTTATACTAGGACTCATGCATGCAATTACAAGTAATACATGAAAAATATTTTAAATTTTGAAATCATATTCATTTTTGGCATATGAATTTTTTGAATCTGTTTCTAAATCTTTGATTGCGTTTCAGTCATTTCACCTCACTCACTATCCTCTTCTGCTGCATCCATGAGGCGCGTTACATCGTTTCAGAACCACTGCAGTAAAGTAAGTGAAAATTTACACTCATTTGGAAGTTAGATAAATATTTCTTGTTTCAACAGATCCCATAACCAGATCAACATAACCGCTCACATACACGCACCACTCTTTGATATGTAAAATGATTTAAACCTATATAGAATTAATTTTTTTCACTTGGCGTTTCATAATAAAAATAACTTTGATTTAATAAATGAAGAGTAATGCAATATAAGAACCCCGAAAATATGTTGTTTTTTATACAATCTGCTTTGCCTAAAAACATATTTTCTCCTGCACTTGAAAAATAAACCATGTAATCCTTCTCTAAATATAAGGCACCCATGTTCACCGTTTTCCAGATTTTATGCCTGCAGCTAGAATCTTGCTGCATAAAAACATGTATTAATAAAATATCTGTTTATTTTACCGCTAAACTCCCGACCAAACAGTCGAGAAGATTGTTTCCGCTTTATAACAGTCATAAAAGAACTCCACATTCAACTCCAAAATAGAAATAGCGAAAAATGTCATCATAATTGGTGCGAATGATCTCGCAGAAAAGGCGTAAGAAATTAAGACTTCAGTTCTTGTTCTGAAATATAACAGAATGCACCAATATTTTTGGTTCCGTTCAGAATCAAAAGTATTTAAAAAAAAAAACAGTTATAAACTCATGATGTTCACAATATAAGAACTAAAGAACATTTGATACAAGACCGTCTTCATGACGCTCTTAATACCAATAAGATGCAGCACTACTTCTGCCGTTAATGCCCCTTTTCTCGAAGTTAAAAACTCGCCCGCACACTATATTAAAGACAAAGAATTCCTTTCTTGTTTCTTACAAGTAAACATAATTAATAAATGTAAAAACTGTCTATATTTCTGATTGAAACCTTTGAGTTGTTCCTTTAGCCATTTTGATGCTCTATAACTTTGATGTTTTCGTAAAAAAAATTATAAATGTAAGTTTTTCTTTTTTTAATTAAGTTTTAAAATTCCGGTATTTTGATGGCTATGCTTTATGATAAAGTGGTAAAGTAATTATAAATTGTAAATTAATTATTAAATATATTACAAATAGCAGTAATTTGGTCTTGGTTATTTATTTTAATACTGATAACTTCAAAAATCTGAAAGCTTTTTAAAACTATTTAACAACAATTTGATAAGGAAAAGAACATCGTTTGAGAAAAAAAAAAGAATAAAAAAATCAAACTTCTATTTGTAGAATTTGTCTCCAGCCAAGGTTTTGGGTGTTAAAAATGGTTCGACAACAAACATATTGATAACTTTAAATATACTCTCTACAATTCATTAAAAAGTAATTTTTAGTTTCTGAGCTTTAATCAAACATGTATTAATAAAGGATTGTTGCGCAAGTACATTCGCAGACAACTACACAAGAGAAAAAGGAAAAATGGAAAAATGGAAAAATGGAGGGATGACTGTGACTATTAGTTGGGGAAAGATAGAAAGAGAGAGAAAGAGTAAGTGATTGAGAGAAGACAGTGTATGTGATTGAGAGAGAGAGAGAGAGAGAGTGAGAGAGAGAGAGAGAGAGAGAGAGAGAGAGATCTTCTTGCCAAGTGTATATATCAACGTCAGTATTTAGTAATTGTAATCTTCTGTACTTGATTGATATAACAGAATAAAAATCTTTTCATTTTTCTAAATAAACAAAATAGAATCCAAATAAAACGAAGTGTCTTGCTCTGATGTGACCTGCGTCATCTTTTGAAAAAATTTCTTCTCATTTTTTTTCATTGTTTTTTTTTTGTATCTTTCTTTGCTTTATTCACTTTTCTTCATTCGTTTTTGTATTTATTTTCTTTCGGTCAGAGCGTTCCTCTCAATCCTAAGTGACAGCCATGAGACAAGAACATTTTGCACGCATCGAGACACTCGAAAATCCATCTTTGTCGCATTTGCACCTGGAATTCCTCTCGCCGTCGACACAGTCTTCATAAACAACCCCCATAAATCTTCGTCATCGACATTCATCGGACCCCAGGCCAGCACCCTTTTTTGTTTGCTTTTAGCAGCGACATAATAAAATAACATTTCGTTCAGTTCTTTCTTTCTTTCTTTCTTTCTTTCTTTCTTTCTACTTATGATCATTTATTCCTTTTTCATTCTTTTCTCCTTTCTGTCCTCCACTCATTCATTTATTTTTCGACTATTTCTCTATCTCTTTTTTTTTCATCGCTCCACGTTCGTTTCTTTTTCATTATTTTTCTCCTCATATTTATTTAAAATCATTAATCATTATTATTCCTTCCTTTCTTCTACTCTTTCCTATATTCGTGTTTCAACGGTGTTTTAAACCTAAAATTCTTGGCAATAATTTCGTATTCGGCATTTCGATCAATAATTATTTCATAACTTGTAAATCTGTGCACCCTCAGAATGATTAGGAACAGATTTAAACCTGAAAAATATTAACCAGTATACAATAAAAGACGTGTAAAGCCTTCAGCAAATAAAGCTCATCAAATGATAGCAAGCTAATTTTAGAGTCAAAAGTTCGTTACTTGTCGATATGCCCAAATTAGCACACGCTATCGCATCATGTGTTATCCTAATATGATATCATCGTGTGTTACCATCATATAATACTATCATGTGTAACTAAAAGCAAAAAAACAAAAACAAAAAAAAAAACAATATTTTTTTTCTATAAATCTCCAAGTGAGAATCAGTCAATACGATGGCCGACACTTAGTTATGAAGCTAATTTTCATCTGAAGTTTTCATAGTATAATGTTCAATCTTTTGGTATAGGTACATTAAAATAAATACTTTTTCAACATTAGGCTACGGACTATATATATATATATATATATATATGTGTGTGTGTGTGTGTGTGTGTGTGTGTGTGTGTGTGTGTGCGTGCGTGTGTGAGTACATGTATATATATGTGTGTGTGTGTGTGTGAGTACATGTATGTTTCATTGAAAATGATTGACAAAGTATTAAATATCAAAAAAACATGACAACATCAAATACGAACATCACCATACTGCACTGGCCGTGTTCCTGAATTAAAAACATATCTGAGTATCAGCAACCTACACATCATTTTGGGGTTGGTCCCATTTCCAATAAGCGTTAAACATGACGTCACTGTAGGCTTATATCAAACTTTCAGATTTCCCCAAAATATCAAGATCTAGACAAAGGAATTCGGCCTTTGAACAAAACAACAAATCAACTTCGGGCAGTTTCTCTACAACTTTGAGCACAATGTCCCTCATTTGAAAATTGGAAAAACAGAATAAAAAATGAAACAGACAGACTTTGTCGATTATTTTACATCAAACGTCTCTGAATGAATACTTGCCTGTTGCCTAAATATACCTTATATATATATATATATATATATATATATATATATATATATATATATATATATATAACTGTGTGTGCGCTCGCTCTCGCGTGTGTGTGCGTGTGTGTGTGTGTAAGGCTGCGCCAAAGTGAATCCCTAAAATAATATTAAAAATGTCTCGTTTTTTCTGGATAATGAAACAGTACATGCAAGAAACCCAGCTAATATCGAGCAATTTGTGGGAGTTTTGCCAAGAAGAATAGTCAAAAATTGACGCTCACTTCTGCCAGAAAATTCTTTAAAAGACTGATCGACGTCATGACGCCAAAAGAAGGAGTCACCAAATGTTAAATGTAAGGCTTTACTTACTCTTGCACATCTTCATTTTTAAGGAATATTTTTATTCCAGCTTGATAAAATTTTTTGAAAGTGGTTGTAATTCGTTTAATAAAGTTTTTTTTTTAATGAATATATATTTTAATTAAGATTTGTTGGTTATCTGGAAAAAAAAGCTACAATTTTTTAAAATATTGTCTTAGGGGTTCACTTATTTTTGTACAGCATTGTACACACACGCACGCGCGCGCGCACACACACATATATATATATAAACATACACACACACACACACACATATATATATATATATATATATATACATATTGGGAAGAAATACAAATGTCGGTTAGAATTTCACATCGAGAAGATACAAATGACGCTTAGCTTGAAATTTAAATTTTTTAAAATTTAACAAATTTGGCGTCCGATGTATCCAGATATATAGATAAACCGACCTTATTCAGCTTTTTATCACTTTTTCCATGTTAATTTGTTTTAAAAACTATCCTTTATATGCGGGTAATAAGTGCGTGTGCGTGTTTTGTATGCGTATTGGGCATCTATAAATATACAGATATATTTATCGGAAAAAAACCAGCAGCAGGTAAAGTCTAGTGATTTTTATTAACTGCCTTTGTGCTTTAATTTTTTCTGTATCATAATATTACCAGGAACTGATTTCAAATTATATTTTTATTGAAATTATAAGGATCCTGAGAATGAATATATATTTTTTTTTTGTCTTCTACACTTCAGATATCGATGGGGAAGCTGTTTGAGAGAAAGGCAAGTTTCATTCTATAGGTTTTGGAGCTTCAATATTTCTGCAAAGCATCAAGGATGTTCCAACTTTTAGTTGATGCCTGTTGAAATAAACATCCTACTTCTCAAAGGTTTTGGGAACAGCCTTAGTAGTGTCAAGAACAGTGTTAAAGGATTTCTACATTTGTACTTCAGAATTTTCTGCAGCTGCTTAAGGTTTATTTCTGTAATTGCCCCATTCTTTAGTGTAAGAATGCCTTGATCACAAAGCCACTGATAATTTCAATAGTTTTGGACCATCTTTTACAGTTAAAATAGTAGAAAAAATGTTTAAATTTGAAAACTTTGCAATCTGTGAACTACTTGATGATCTTTTATGACCTTCAATGACTACTAGATATTTTGCATCATTTCACACTAAAAAAAAAAACCTTTTCTTTCATGATGTCCGATTAATTAGTACTTTTTTTACTAAATCAGTTAGAAGCAGAATAAACTAACTTCTGTTTGCAATCTACCTGATATTAAAATATTATAAAGAAGAGAAATTAATAATTTCTCTTCTTTATAAGATTTTAAAATGAAAACTAAACTGTATTCTAGATTCATTTGCATTCTAGAAATATCACAAGAAATTACGTTTTTTTTTTCAAGGTGTGGATATAATAATGCAATTGTTACCTTAAGAAAGTTGTCTCTATCTTTTTAGAATGCCAAATAAGATGGCTATACAAATATGATATAAAATAATACAAATTCAAAATAATATATAGATTGTAGAAAGGTTTGGAGAAATTAATGTATAACTGACAGACTTGATCTATCTATCTATCTATCTATCTATCTATCTATCTATCTATCTATCTATCTGTTTATACTTTAACAAAAACGTTTGAATTACTTACTGGTTAAAAATTAGTCGAATTTGGTGCCGTTAAAAAACACAAATTTAGCTGCACCCTGATCGAGAGAAGCCTGTGCAAATTTAATAAATACATTGATTTGTTTAGTAAAAATTCCCAGTCAATAATTTTTTATAATTAAATATTCATTATCAACAATGATTATTTTCGGAATTCCTTTTAATTTTCAGTGCCATTTTTTAAAATTATTCTACAGGAGTAAACCAGATACACTGTTCATTTTTTGCATACATAACCAGATACACTGTTCATTTTTTGCATACATAACCAGATACACTGTTCATTTTTTGCATACATAACCAGATACACTGTTCATTTTTTGCATACATAACCAGATACACTGTTCATTTTTTACATAACCAGATACATATACATAACCAGATACACTGTTCATTTTTTACATAACCAGATATGTTCATTTTTGCATACATAACCAGAACATATGTCCCAGATAAAACATAACCAGAACATATGTCCAGATAAAATAGGCTTTATTCGTATATTGGTCACTTCAAGTAAGTACCAAAAATAATTACAAATTGTAGCGTCGAACAAGGCTAAAAAACCCAAAACAATATATTACAATCATTGAAATATCTGTGAATTATTAATTTTAGTTTTAATTGCAAGAAAATTGAGTAAGGTTAGCGTAAAAAGTTAAAATTACTTTTGCGCAATTTAAACAGGCGTAGTGTCAATTTTTGTCGTTTAAATTTAATTTCTATTGCATCATGATTGACATTTGCCGGCAGAAATATTATTAATAATCTCCTAAAAACAATGTAGCCATTAGAGCCACGTAAGCTTAGGTGAAATTAGTTAATGTTATGATTACTTAACTGGATTTACAAAAACTGACCTTTTAAATAGTGAAAATGCATTTTTTTAGTATGTCTGTAACATGTCAGTTGAAAGGACAAGTAACTGTTGTGATAGTTTTGATACTTTTCTATATGCAAATGATGAAAGCCTGATTAAATTTTTGAACCTCTCATGGGACATATGAAATATGGTTTATGAAAAATGACAAAATCTGCAAAAGTATATTGACAATATTTTTCACTAATATGGTTTTGTCCGACTAAAAGTTTCATACGCGTTAGACGCGCATGTGTCTGTGCGAGTTGTGTACACGCTCGTGTTTATAATATATATATATATATATATATATATGATGGGATACATTCGTACAAAGATGCAGAAAGATATATTAATAAACATATATATATATATATATATATATATATATATATATATATATATATATATATATGTGTGTGTGTGTATCTATATATAAATATAATTTATATATATATATATATATATATATATATATATATATATATATATATATATATATGTTGTATGTGCACATACACACTCAATCACACATACACAGACGCACAAACATATACATATATTATTTTATCATTTTAAACGTTCTTATAGTAGATACTTCTTATTTGAAATAGACGCCCATTTTGTTTATTAAACAGTGTGTATTATATCTACTGGACGGCGCATTCGAGAACTGTTAGTAAAGAATATGTTTCCTCCGGCAGGCATCGAACCTGGAGTTTATTTCGAATAAGATGCATCTATTATAATAATATAGGATTAAAAAAACAATCCATTAATTCTTTATGAATATATATATGTATGTGTGTATATGTGTGTGTGTGTGTGTGTGTGTGTGTGTGTGTGTGTGTGTGTGTGTGTGTGTGTGTGTGTGTGTGTGTGTGTGTGTGTGTGTGTGTATGTGTGTGTGTGTGTGTGTGTGTGTATGCGTTGTTCTTGGAAAATAATATAGGAAACTGTATTTGCAACAGATCAAGGAAATGTAGGAATCATCAGCTATACTCACGAGAATATCCCCCCCCAACCACTAACATTTTGTAAATTAAAATTAATAGCAAAAATAATGACTCTTATAAATATAATGTGATTGAAACACACATCTTAAATCATGAAGACTAAACGATAAAAAAAAACTACAGATTAAAAAAATGGTGCAACACAACGAACGAGATAATTTTGCGAATGACCTAATGAACATAATCGAACGCATAAAATTCAGTCATAAAGAATCCCCCTCTCGACAAAGAATAAAAGAACCTAAAATTCTAGACAGCACAATAAGTTACTAAAGGAAAACATAAGCAACGCCTGAAGCAAGGGACAGAATATAAAACCCTTTGAGGCGCCAAGGTAATGAAATTGGAACGCTCCCCTCCCGCCACCAGACAGAGCTACTCTCTAACACGCCCGCATTCGTCTTGAAGATTTTTTACTCGAAATATATTTTAGCGACATTTACATAGCTTGAAGTAAACTTATTGCAAATTCTTTAAATAGATTATGATAGCTATCTTTTCTTAGTCAATAAAATATTCTTTAATATCAACTGCTTTATAAAAACTTGAGGAGCCCTAGGCTGCAGCCATACTAGCCCAGAGAATAATCCGTCCCTGTCTTGAGAAAAGCACACAAAACAACATGAAATCATCTTAGCAAATGCATCAGAAAATAAATCACACCAAGGCTTTATCTAGATATTCACATAAATAATCTCGCAAAATCACAAATTTTCACACTAAAATATCACCCACCCAAATAAAAAACAAAGCAAAAACAGGGCTAACCAAACATGGACACTAATAAACCCAACAAAAATGGAGTAGGGAAAATAAACAAAATTATACTTGAGGAAATTAACTCTGAATTATTGACAATTTTACACTTAATTTAATGGGAAGCACAGAATCAGTTAAAAACTGTTTCCGTCATATAAAATGCATACATTACTGTGTATTTATCCAAAACGATATTAAATATGTTAATCTTCTTAGCTAAGGAATACACAAAAATCACAACATATCAACTAAAAATCATAAAAAAACGTTCGAAAATTACTACATTTCGCTAATGAAGCTAAATGTTTAAAGAAGGACACAGAAGGAGCATTTGATATAACCATAGCAGGTTATAATGGTGAGTTACATGCGAACTATTTGGAACATACATACTACATATACAAATTAAGATATTTAACAAAATAGATACAACATCAATCGGCTCCTAATCCTAAGAATCTGCCGCATATATAAAAACAAATAAAACTAGAAAATAAATCATAACAATTTTCACAAAAGAGAATTCAAAGTCGACATGAAAATAAAGCAAAGAAGGGTTGAGTTTTAAGATGTACTTTCCTTCTTCCAAAAAGGTATAAAACAACCATTCAGAAAATCAAACGATAAACCACTTTACATACACATTTTCTCCAACCACCAACCTACTATAATCAACAAATTCTCCAATCCATTGTCGCAGGTTATTCAACAATTCGTCTTTTTTAATGGATTCTGTGCGTTTTCAGGAAAACCTAATTTAAAATAAAAGTGCTAAATATAGATAAAATATTAAACTCATCGAAAAAAAGCTTCCCCAAATCAAGCATAATGAATAAAATTTTCAAAAGAAATCTTCTAAAATCTATCTCGAGATTAGCCAAAGACTTGCTACGAATCATAAATAATCGCAACAGAAAAATCAGCAAAGTACATCACATACAAGCAAAACCCTCATCTGTAATTGCAAAACGAAGTACGAATATCCACCAAACGGTTACTGCCTACAAAACAATTTAGCTACTGTAAGATCCAAAGGGAAATTCAGAATAATATATGAAGAACAGAAGGCAAAGGGGAAAAGAAAAAAAACTACTCAGATAAAACATAATTTAAAATATGCAAATAGCACAACCCTCCCACAACATAGATAAGATTTCAAAAACACAAAGCAAAACCACAAAATAAATAAACAAAACAAGAGCAACTTACAGCAACACCTTAAAACGATGACTAACTACAAAAGAAAATTACCTTTTCCGAGCAATATAAACTCTTATCGAGAAGATGAGAGCCCTTTCGAAAAGGCAGACAAGAAGACAAATTTTTACTACTAACAAGTACATCATAACGTATAGCCAAAATCATTTGTAATTATTTAAAATAGTAACTTTTCGAACAATGAAAGCATATAGATAAATAAAATGAAGGTGAGGACTATAAATAATCTAAAATACATTCGACTAGCAAAAGAAATGGGATACGTCTTGTTTGCCACTTTACGACATCTTTTTTCATTTATGAGAAAGAAAGTTCATGTCATCAGACTCAAGAATGATGTTCTCATAGGTTAAAGAAAACAGAATTTGTTGATGAAATCTTCGATTTGGGTAAAATAAATCGATTAGCAACTACGAACCAAGGAATAATCTGTAGAAATGTCATGGCATCAACAACTTTAACAAAGCTGACAGAAATATGGAAAAAAATGAAGTTTTTCAAATTAATCCAAAACTCGATATAGCGTCCTATCCATCTGGAAATTTGGCAATGAAACATGTCATCCAAAATCCAGTGAGTAGAAGTTAACTTGGTGATTCGGCGCGAAATTACTAAGGAAAATACTAGGTGTAAAATGGAACGATTTTGTAGTCAACGAACAGGTTTGGAAATATCGACTGGATTCAGATATGTGTTCTCTTAGACGAAAAAAAAAAAAGAAGAGTTCATTTACATAATTAAAAAAAAAGAAGTTGTCTTCGACTTTTAATAAAACTTGAATTAATGAAAGATTCATCCGTAAGTACGCATTATATATATATATATATATATATATATATATATATATATATAAATATAGAAAGAGAGAGAGAGAGAGAGAGAGAGAAAGAGAAAGTGTCAGAAATAGAGTCAATACGAGAGAGATATTTAAGTAAAAAAATTAAAACCTAGACGTGAACTGTTCGTTGGTTATTTCTCTGAACCTTTGGGAATCTAACGAGAATGATGTACTTAAAATCACTATAAAACCCAACGCACTCGCAACTCTCTTCCTTGCCAAGTCGGTTAAAGATCTTCGAAGCTAACGGCAATATCTCCGATAAAAGAAT